GGGCTGGCACTCCACCCTGCATAGGAGGCTGCATCAGAGGAGGGGCTCCATTCACATGCATACCACCCTGCGTGAGGAAAGAAACTACTTAAAGCAGCAATGCCGTTATACCAGGATGTTATACTGGGAGTCCCTTTCTCACCAACATACATGTGCCCCCACATGCAAGTGGATTTAGCAAAGATCCTTACAATGGTCTGTGGCTGGGAGGACGTGGGAGTCTGTTGGTTCATCTGTGCATTTGGACCTGGCCCGGGCCCAGGCCCGGACCCTGGAACTGGCTGCTGGTTGCCTGGGATCAGAGGTGGAACACTGGTCTGGCGATGCAGAATTTTCTAAGGACAGAAGAGAGAGAAAGAAGCTGTGAGTACTCCACTGATGCACAGCTATTCCTGGAATCCACACGTGCCCCACCTCACCAGATTAGCATACCCATCACTCCCAAATGGAGGAAGAGAATCATACATACCAGAGCGATCTCTGGATCAACAATCCTCATCACCACCTGGGCTTGCAGCAGGGCATAAGCCAGCTGAGGGTTTTGGAGCAGCATATTCCGGGCTTCCTGAGGGCTGTTCTGGACACATAACTGAGGACAAACACACCAGTCAGAGCTACACAGGAGCCCTGCCACTACCACTAACTGCTGCTGCAACTTCAAAGGGGAATCAACAACTTAGGAAACACTGCAATAGCAGCATGGCAAAGGGTGAGATATACAAATACTTGGTAACTTCAGACTTTGCAGTTTGGATCTTCTGAGTGAAATACTAGCTCTACAACCTCACCTCCTCTAGCCATGGGGCTGGGGTAAGGGTCTGGGCCCTGTACTGAAGCTAGAATCTCTCCTGGGGCTGGCACACTATACTGCATAGAAGACTGAAGACTGCTATGTAGTTAAGTACAACCATCTCAACAGAGCCTCAGGTGACCTGTGTAAATCATGGATTTTTGGTTTTGTGGCTGCTGAAAAAATTTCATTTGGGGTAAATCTGGAACTAGAGGTGTCCATATCGGCACCAATAAAAGGAAAATTGATATTATTGACAATTTACTTTTTTTGGCTGACATGGCCAATGATGGTGCTGATAAATGTTGCATCTGGGCAGTAAGTTGGGGGGGGGCGGGGGGGGGCAGGTCAGACCAATGCCTGCTGTAGTGAGGGAGGGAGTGGGGCTGGGGCAGGTGTTGCCTAGCCGGGGCAGGGTGGGGCATGGGACAGAGCTGGTGGCTGGGTACAGCTCCTGTGCTGCATGCACCTTAGATCTGTGCATGGGGCAAAGGTGGGCTGCTGCTGCATGCTTGGGAGCTGCACTAGGCTTTTCCCAGCAGCTGTGCTCGGACTGGGCCAGGCAGTGGCAGTACTGGGAGGGGCACAATGGGGGCTGTAGCTGCCCTGTGGTTCCCCTCGCAGTGCTGACGCTGCCTGCCCTGTCCACCCTAGCCTGGCCTGGCCTGGACCAAGCGCAGCGGCCGGGAAGAGCCCAGTGCAGGCCACAGCCCACCCTTGCCCTGCACACAGATCCAGGGGGCATGTGTCCCCCAGGCCTCCCCTGAGGGGAGCGCAGTGGCAGGAGCTGCACCCCCACCTTTCCCATGCCCCCCAGATGAGCCACCGGCTCCATTCCACATCCTGTCCTGGCTGGGCAGTACTTGCCCCTGCCCCACTCCCTCCCTCATTGCGGGGGCCTCCACCTGCTCCCCCACCCCCCTCCCAACAGACTTACCATCCAGACACTGCTCTCCATTGGATTGGTATCTGCCGATTTGGCTGGTCAGTAACGGGCCATCGGTATCAGCCCAAAAAATATTTATCGGTAACCTCCCTATCTAGAACCATTCACAACAGGGCTCCTGTTATTTTCCTCCCATTCAGCTTCAGTAATTCATCAGCTTAGAGACAAAAGTTTACTTGGAACCGACTCGAACAGGGAGGTGAAACTGCTGCTTTGGACCACTCGGCATCTGTGATGCTTGTCATCATCCTTAACAGTAAGTTCAGTGCATAAAACAGCTCTCTCCCTAGCCCATACCTACGAAAAAATTGAGCATCAGCATCCCACCTACACATAAACCCGCTAGACCATTCTATCTTGTATCAACACAGCCAACAAAGAAGACTTAACTGGGGCTGCTAAGGCACAGAGATATGAGCAGAGTTGCCACTGCCTGTTTGTTCTTGTGCTGCTGGTGGGATCACTCAGCACTCACAGTCCAGTGGTGCTGTGCATTACACACATCCTACCACTTTGCTCCCACTCACCTTCATTTGCTTCATCAGCTCAAACATCTGCTCTGGTGGCAAGCTGGCAACTGCCCTGCTGATGGACTCAGGGGCATCTTCAGGATTTACTGGGTCCCCATAAGGTGACTCTATGATGGGGGCACCTGTGCCCAGGCCTGACAGGGACAATAAGTGGAAGATGAAGATGAAGATGAAGAGGAAGAATTAAATATGTGCTGGCTGATCTCTGAACATAGCTTTTGGTCTCAGCGTTGCTTCACAAGGGCCTCTGTCTCTTGCTGTTCCTTCAGTTGAAAGACCAGAGTTTGAATAGCCCATAGGCTTCAGCAGTTTCACCCTCACAACCAAGAGGAGATACATTTCTCAAACCTTACAGGAATATACATAAGCCCTGTATAGAAGCCAAGGATACAGAGTGCCTTGAATTTCTACAAAGTATTTTAAGAGCTGCAGGTCACTCCAAAGCCATTCCACACAGACTGCACTACAGCCTTTGACAGCACAATACCCTGTCTGTTCTTACTTGTCAAATCCGCTCCACTGATACAGAGAAAACAGTGAAAAGCTGGTTAAAGCAGAAGTTTGTCAGGGCCAGGAAATCACAGCTCAGTCCACACAATCCTCCTGCAGAATTCCATGTGCTAATGCACTCAGACCAAACCAGGAGTACAAGGCCATTTTGCTGTCAACTTCATAAAACAGACTAGTAGATTCTGGTACAATTTAAGCCAAACCTTGCGGTAACATTAACCTCATCAACTCAAAGTCCAGACTCACTCTTCAGCTCTTCTTTGTTCTTCTCACTAGCTGCATTGTCCACTCGCAATGCTCTCCCACTGAACTCACGTCCATTCAGGTTGCGCATGGCGCTGAGCGCCGTCTCCTGGTCTTGGTATTCACAGAAGCCATAACCCTTTGGCTTTCCTGTCTCTCTGTCATATACCAGCCTGGATGGCAGAGCAGACACAATCACAACTGTTACATGCAGAACAACATGATACCAGAGTCTTCCAGCTCGGGTAACCCCCTCCTCACACCCTCCATTCCATCAGCCAGGACAGTGTCACTTTGCTCCTACCCATTCTGAGCTTGCATCTGCTGGGATTTGCATCTGCCCCAGTCCTCTCCTCTCAGGTCTGAGGTGCAGATGAGTATATCAGCAGTCAACCACATCCAAGGTCCCTCACCCCCCTTCAGTGTATTGGAGACATTAAAAAATGGAAATTATTCTCACCTAAAGCTGACAACAGGTCCAACCTCTGAGAAAATGTCCTTCAACTGCTCCTCTGTGGCTTCATATGGGATATTCCCCACTGTGGGAGAGAGAAGCAAATTATCAGTACAGATGATGTACTACGCAAAGCCATAGACTTGAATATTTTACCACAGGAAGAAGGGAAAGAATAAAAATGAGCCTGGGATAGCAAAGGCCAGATGTAGTGACAACACACTATGCAGTTTGCCCCACATTACAGATAGTTTTCTATGTCCTGCTACTGCTGGTATCCACCTCCTCCTCCTCCCAATACAGAATGTGCTCTGGATCATACTAGAGGCCTCCGATTCCATGTCCCGTGTCAGCCAGGCATCAGAAAGAAACTATCAAAGCAAGCAGATGCAATAAGGTCAATAGTTCTTAGATAGTCCTAGAACCACAGTTCCAGGCCTATGCACTGGGTACCATACACGGCTGCCCTCGACTTCTGCAGACTGCTTCTCTGAGGCTGTGCTGTTTGGTGTCACTGCTGCTGTGGCAGCTGAGGCACTTACAGCAGTCAAGAGGATGGTTCTAAGAGGATTTAGGGCGTCTGTAATCCAGTGGGTAGCAGCAAAGGTGCAGCAGTCTGACAATCCTGCCTGGAGAAGCTGGGAAAATCATGAAAACACTCAGCTTCATCTTTCAGAGGAACAGGTCACATATGGATCAGCGAACCAAAATTGAAAGATTGCTTTGGGATAAGGACCCTGCTTTTTCCTTACTCTCGGCACAAGAGGACCATGCTGCTATCAGCAGAGGCCAAAGGCAGCTCCATCACAGGAATCACGGGGAGAACTGTGCATGTTCCTTTATCAGGGTAGCGCCAGTGCTCTGGTAGCCATTTTCAGCGCTGCAAGTTTCCTATTTGCTCTAGTGAAAAGCCTGGGGCTCGTTTGCTGCTGCTGTGAGCACCCGGGAGAGGGGCCGGGGTGAAAGGGAAACGACTCGTGTCACACACCGGGGAAGGAACCCTGGGACCCGCGGGCCTGGGCTTGGCTCCAGCCTGGCGCAGCCCATCGGAAGGTACTTGTGGGGCTCTTCAAGCTCTGCCTTTGCCCGGCGCGTGCTCATCACGGCCCAACAGCTTCGGCCTCGGCAGAAGAAGAGCGCGACAGAAGCACCGCGGGCCTGTACCCCGCCGGGGAAGGGGGATACGCGCAGGCCCCGATCCCGCGCAGAGCCCGCCACTTCCCTGCGACCCGGCCCGGTGGCAACAGCACCTCCACAGCAGGGCAGGGGGAGGAGGCGTCTCACCGAAGACGGAGCGCAGAGAGCGGTCCACCGCGGGGTCCCGCACTGCCAGCCCCGCCATGCCCCGTTCCAACAGCAACAGCCGCGCTTCCGGTCTGCTGCTAAGCACTCCCTCCACTTCCGGTTCCTTCCTGTGCCGCCCGGGAACAAGGGCAAGCACTTCTGTTCCGGCCCAGCGTGAGGCTTCTAGCAGAGCGGCTCGGGCGCTCGGTACTGCCCCTCCGCCCGCAGGACAGATGGCGGCAGAGGGACCGCGCGGGCACCTAGGAATCGGCTCTGCTAGGAAACGCTGACGCGCCGCCCCACGTCGCGCTGCCTCAGTGAAATGGCTGCTGCCGCCCCGGCCCCCGCGCTTGTGACCGAGGCGCGCTGCGCCCAGCGGTGCAGGTGGGGTGGCGCGGCGGGCAGCGAGCCGGCCCCAGCGCCGCGCACACGGGGCAGCACAGCCTGGGGCCGGAGGGACTGCGGGTGATACACCTTCCCCGGCTCGGAGCAGAACTGTCTCCACCGGCTCTGGCTGCGAGGCTGCTGGGGGCTGCCGGGGGTTACGGTGCTTCTCGCCTTCGTCAGGGCCCGGGCACTGGTGGGCTTCGGCCTAGTTCGCTGGGCACCACCTGCCTGCGCACTGGAGGCTGGGCACCAAATAGTGGCAGCAATGAGAAGCAGAGCTGCGGTGCAGAGATGCTGGCCCAGCTCCTGCCTGGGGAATGCCCCACGTCACACCAGTGGGCACGTTATCACTATTTCCAATACATTGAGGGGGAAACTGAGGCACAGCGGAGTGTACCAACATACCCACGGCCACGCAGTGAGCCTCTGGCAGAGCGGGCAATAGAGTCAGCTTCCTGACCATAGACCACGCAGCCCAAGAAACAAGGGGCTTGTTGAACTCGGGCTGAGCAGCGTGAATGGTGCATCACCCTTTCCTCAGGCCTAGGCTGGTAGAGAGCCTAGAGCAGCAGTTTCCAAACTGGGGTGCACCCCCCTTGGGTGTGAAGGGCTGTGGGGGGTGTGTCATGGTCTGCAAAGATCAGGAAAACGCAGGTCTGGAGGCACTGTGCCCAGCTGGGGTGGGA